TTGAATGATTCCTTCCCTCAACATCTCCTGTACTAAGCGCTCTATCTCTTCTTTTTGAAAGTGGGGATATCTGTATGGTTTCACATTCACTGGTGTGGCTCTAGGAATTAAATGAATGGCATGGTTCCCAAGGGCAGGAGGGTGGTAATCCAGTTGGTTTCTGGAACACTGCTTGGTACCGATCCAAGACCTTGGCCATGCGGGGGTCCTCAGTGGCCTGCACTTCCCCGGTGCCCTGCTGCTTTAGAGATAGGCTAAAGCACGTGCTCTAATCTTCATAATGTACTATACTACGCAGTTGGTGGTACTCCACTTCCTGAGGATTCAAAGAGGTCTTGGCTTGTAAAGTCTTAGGTTGGCCTTTGTATTGAATGGTTAATTCCTTGCGCACATAGTCATGCAAGACTGGATTCACAGTCAACATCCAGGACACTCCTAACACCAACTCTGCCCCTTGAATGGGAACTACGAAGAAATCAGCCACGAACTGGTAGTTTTGAATGCTCAATGGGACCCGTTTAATACATCTCTCACACTCCAATTTCTCTCCATTTCCTACCACTACTGATATGGGTGGCACCGCTTCAATACCTAATCTCAAATGTTTGGCAACCTTACTTTGGATGAAATTGTGAGTGCTTCCCCCATCAACTAATGTGTGCAGTGAATGACTCCCTATCAATGCCATAAATCGTAAAGTGGTTGGGTTAGAGTTACCGGATAGGGCATGAAATGAAATTGCAGCCTCCGTTATGTCCTCCTCGGTAGATGCCTGTAGCTCCGCGACTTGCATTTCCTCCGCTATCTCCGCGTCACTCTTCTCCATGTCCTCGTCTCCTTGCTCAGCGAGATCGAGAAGTAGAAGTTGGCCTCCTCCCGAGCATCTATGGCCTCTTGAGTATTTGGCGTCACATTTGAAACAAAGATTAAGGTCTCGCTTACGTTGAATCTCCGCCGCCGTGAGTCACCGAATGGGAACCGCAGGTACAGGGCCCACCGTCGGTGCCGGTAGTGTGGGTTTCACCAGCGGTGTGGTCAGCAACGGCCCTCGGAACTGGACTGCAGGTCTGAAGTCCAATTTTGGGGTCGTCCCCCTTGCCTAGCTCTTCC